ACTTCTGAGCTTCAGCTTTGTTGTGTGCCACCGAACAGACATTGACTCTAAGTTCTAGGGGTCTAGACTTGCAGAGGGTGTAGAAAGATGTTCAGATCCAGATCCACAGAAATTTTGCGCACGCCACGCAATCTGCACTTCGAGGTTCACAATTGCTGCGCTTGCCGAAGTCATGCGCTTATAGATAGAGGTTCACCCAGCACCACGCCTGCCACGCAATCTGCACTTCGAAGTTCACAAAGTGCTGCGCCTGCCATGAAATCTGCAGTTCCAGTGCGCAAAGCGCCGTGCCTGCCACGAACCCTGCAACTGAAGGTGCTCAAAGTGCTGCGCCTGCGATCTGCCGCTGCTGCCACGAAATCTGCTACTGGAGGCGCCTGCGCATCCAGATTCACATCGCGCAGCGCTGCCAAGGCGGTTGGCAGTGGCAGGCGCAGTTTCTTTCCTTTTTGATATCTATCTATTTTCTTTTTGATAGCCCGGCCCGGATCAATGCGGACATGCAGCTCTTCCTAGAGAATGACAAGAAGGCGCCCACGCATCGAGGCTGGCTTCGGGAATGCTGGAGAGGTCACTGGAGATGTGGGGATCTGGAAGGAGCTTCACGAATGACCCAATTTCGCGGGGTTCAATATATCCAGTACATTCCTGTCACTGTGGCATTTTTGCTGCCGTGAGGGCAACCATAAGAACGAACGCGCGACAGATGCATCCGACAGATTCACTCATCCGACAGGTCATGTTTTGCGACAGGTGTAGCACGGTCATCTGATCCGAACCAAACTGGTTTCTGTTGCACATGACTGGAGGAACCTGATTAATCAAGCCTCCCGGCCGGTTTCGCTTGCGGCGTGCTTCATCTGTGGACTGTTGTAATTCAGCCTTAAAAGATAAGGCAGGGATGCAGTGTCACGACTTGCAAGGATCAAAACACTTTTGAAACATGTTCTCAACACAATCTGAATGCTTCCGAAGGCCCCTTGGTTTCACACGTGATGGTTCGGCAGGAAACTCACTGGCCACAGATGAGCCACGCGGCAGACCGTTGGTCGAAAAAAGATTCCCAGGAGATTGGACGTGGTATGTTTCTACGTTCAACAGGGTGTCTCCCCAAACAATTTTTCAGGGGCCGCCAGACGCTGTGTTTGAAATGCGGTCGCAACTTGCCATAGCAACAAGTTGGGTGTGTGGGACTGCGGAAACTGAATGGAGAATCAGACAGGTGTAGTTTTTGTGTCGGTTCAGTGACTGAAAGGAAGTTGGGGATTGTTTCTTGAGCAGATCTTCGCCATGATGCTCACCATTCCGTTGGCCATTGTGGGCTCTGAAAGCTTTGGAGGTGGGATTGGGCCTCTCCCAACCTCGATAGCTAGAGGCCTCAGCGCACGCGCCACGCGCTCAGTGTGCAGATAAAAGTGCTTTTCAAATGTTGGCTTATTGCGGTTGCTTGCCATTTTGCACCCCACCTGTTTTCAGTTGGAATCAAAAGTCAGGAGTGCGCTGTCTGCAAAGGAGGAGGGGTTTTGGCTCGTGGTCTTTGAGCAGTTTGTCATTTTTGGAAGGTTCTTGATTCATGCATTTTCCGGCTCAGGGAGCAGCCTGGGCTCGACCAGCGGTGCGCCTCCCGGTTTGAGGTTTCCGCGAATATATGTGGTGATGCAGCATTCGACGCCTGACAGGACGATGGTAAGATGTGGAGTCTTGATACCCACACTTCCCAGAACGGCCCTGGTGCGCCAGCCTTGATTGCATATGCGAAGACGCCAGACTTGTATTGAAGCATTGAATGGAGATTGACTTGGAAGTATATCAGGAAGAGCTGCCAGCACTCTCCTTTTCATCCACCCCTTTTGGCCAGGTCTTTGTTAAGTTGCGCTGGTTCCTCGCAGCACTGATACTTTTGCTACAGGAACCCTTTGAATGCATGTTCATCATCGCTACTAGGGTGGAGGCCATTGCTACTAGGTTGGAGGCCACCTCCAGATTTCCAATACGTCTTTGTTTTGGTTTCTGCGAGGAGCAAGCTGTGACACCAATCGGGACAGGCATCGCTCCTGAGCGCGTCAGCTCTCTGGCAGGCTGTGCGTGCTGTGCCGTGTTGAAACCAAGAGAACCGCACAATTCGAAGCACAATATGCCGACGTGCCAATGAATTGGCACGATTCCGACCAGGTGAAATCACCTTATACTTGAGAGCACCAGCTGAAGCTTTTGAGTCTGCTCCTGAAGTGCCATAGTAGTTTCTTGTTACTAGTAGCTCTGGCATCTAGTATCTTTTTTCAACTGTATTTTTCTGTCAATGTGCGTGCTGAGGTGCGAACTTTTTCGAGATAGTGGTGTGGGGGATAACCCTCGATTCGAGGCCAGCACAGTTGACACAGGTTCTGACATGCCATGCAACCGCACTTGGTCCTCACACTTTTTCTGTGAAAAGAAACCGATTTGAAGTCTAATACTGTCAAACAAAAGAAATGATAGAAGAAGAACACAAAAACAAGAAAAACAATCGAATGTTTTGGGGTGGAGGCCATGGCAGGTAGGTTGGAGGCCATTGCTACTAGGGTGGAAGCCATTGCTACTAGGAATGTTGCAGAATTGCGTCAAGGATTAGAACTGAGAAAAGAGCGGACATCCTTTCGTGACGCCGCAGCTCCTCGGGCTCTGGGGCTCGTGTGGACAAAGCGCCACAGCCTCTCGTGTACTATGGATCATACCAAATCACGCGTGTCTTTAGGGGTGCAGAAGGACTCAGCAAGGAAGGTTCATAAGAAGGTTCATTTACGGAACGACTCGGCAAGGAGGTTTGAATAGAAATTTGATCACATAGTGGACTTGAGACTGACTGATCATAGTCAAGCTTACCAAGGTTCTCCAAGTCATGGTGCCATGGGGAGCGCAGCTGTTGCCTGCAGTTATTTTCCAAGCCCTTTCGGCTAGTGCGACAGCAAAGGTTGGGAAAAGTGTTCTTTCTTCTAGCTCACCGATCTCACCACGCGGAATGGAGCAGACAGCACTGCGTGGTTTGCAGGTTGGATGCCATTCAGAGTGCAAGAAGCCTCACTGTGTGGAGGGAGCAGCTTGGAATGGATCCGGCCTGAGATATAGACAAAAAGAGACAATGAGTTGAACATGAGAAGACATTGAGAAACATGAGACGAGGAAACAAAGAAGGCGCGACCGGATTTCTTTTAATGACTCCTTGAAGGGCCTTGTAAAAAGAGCCCTGTCGCACCTCCTTCCCTTTTTCGTCTCTCTTTTCTTCCTGCTCTAAACACCTAGGTCTAAGAGTCTTTTGTTTGCCTTTTTCATACCACCAAGGTGGCCTGCCACTGTCGCACAACGTTTGTGAACATATCTGTTCGAGAAAGTTCGGAGAGACGCGTCAGGACCTTGGACCTGGTCGAGCCTCAGTAGAGTTTGCTACTTCTTGGCTTTACCTAATAACGATGGCCTCCACCCTAGTTTTGCGTCCTTGCTCCTAGTAGTAATGGCCTCCAACCTACTTGCCTCCAACCTAATAGCCTCCTACAGTGTTACAGGACCTCCATAGAGTTTGCTACTTTGGGTGTGCTCGTGTTGAGAGCTACGCTGTCAGGTTACTGTGGAGAAAGCGAGAAGTACTCACAGGGTGACAGCGTAAACTGCACTTTGTGCAGCGGCAAGGCCGAAGAGAAGATTCAGAACACCATTGCATTGCTATTAGGGGCTCCTGGCATCGCTACTAGGAGCAAGGACGCTACTAGGGGCTCCTGGCCGTACTACTAGGAGCACGTAGCTAGTAGTAACAAGAAGCCACCATTGTCATTAAACATCGATTTTGTATCATTCATGCTACGAACGGGGCTCCTGGCCTTACTACGAACGGAGCGATCGGACGCTACTAGGAACGGTCTTTGTGCATTTGAAGTCGCTGTTCGCTGGAAGGACTTGGACTCCACAGCGGACTCGGTTGAAGTCGCAGCGCCTCAGCGGATTCGAGAAGCAATCCTGAAGGAGAGAGGGAGGAGGGTTGAGAAGACAGCTTCTTCCTAGTACGGTTCTTGTTGAGAAGCAAGAGCTATCAGAGAAGATATTGCTGATTCGCATCTGCTGAAAGCCAGTGAGACTTGCCACGTACCAGGTTTCTTTGAAATGGTTAGATACACATATATATATATATACATATTTATGTATAGTCATATAAATAAAGAAGTCGGACCTACTCTTCCATTATGCCCCAAGACAGGATACAAGCAACTTTGGCCCAGACGCTTCCCAGCGATTCTCTGCGATTCTGTGATCTCATGCTGTAGTTAAAGGTTCCGAGAAGTGTTCAAGGTCAAAGTCAACATGAACAAACTTCCTGGCTTCGTGAGAAGCAATATGACTTTGATCTCCCCCTGAAAGCCACAGTCCAAAGGCAGAAGTTGCTTTGTTTTTTTGCAAGTATCCACGAGGTACAGAGTTTTACTTTTTGTCAGGTGCATCTCGTATCAATCTTCCTCGAATCTGTTGTCCTAGTGCGGAAGATTTGAGCAAGACCATCCACGTCACTTTTCTCTGACAGGAGGCGCAACATCGGCTTGTGGCATGGTATGATGACCAGGAGATCGCTATATGTGACATCGCTCAAAAATAGACACGGCCAGCGGCGGAAGACGTCAGGATGAGTTGACCTTGCCATACTGGGAGTTCAAGGCGGACGCTGCTTTGTTCCAAACGGCAGACCGAGCAAACATTTGCGCTTCTCCAGCTTCAAGGCGAAGGTGCAGCAGACCAAGCATTGGTACTCTTGCGATCCGAATGGTGACATGAAGGCGAGCAGAGTGAAGCTACTAGTAACAATGTTCCCTACTAGGGGCTGCTGGCATCGCTACTAGGAGCAATCAGACGCTACTAGGGGCTCCTGGCATCGCTACTAGGAGCAATCAGACGCTACTAGGGGCTGCTGGCGCTAGTCACTCTCGGGGATCGACGGTGTTCGCTACAGGTGCCGGTCACCTTTGGTGAATTCAACGTCAGTGATGTACGACCTGCGGAACTCTTTGAAGTCCTGACAGATTTGGAGGGCCAACTGAAATGGGACAACTCCATCAGCGAGGCGAGAAACCCGTTCATGCACTCGGTTCGTGCGCTCGTTTGTCAGAGGTTGGAGGCCGCTAGTAGGGTGGAGGCCATTGCTATTAAGGTTAGAGGCGCTTTCCCGTCGGTGTTTGGGACTCTCCTGCCCTGTTTTGCACCAGGCCGAAGTCATCAAAGAATTTCCGGAGGATGGTGTACTGGCAGCAGAGCTGGTCTTTCCATCGGGAATTTGGTTGGTGCCTCCGCGCCAGGCCGACTTTTCTCCCTTCAATTGTAAATTGAAGCTACTAGTAGCAAGGACGCTATTAGGGGCTCCTGGCCTCGCTACTAGGGGCTCCTGGCCTCGCTACTAGTAGCAGTCTAGCAGGCTTGATATCGTTTTTGCCTTAGGGCTGATGGAACAGGTCTTCCAGTGGATGGCCTTCAAAGCAAGCTTAAAGAATCAGGAGTCGAGACGTGCGACACAACCGCCTTTGCAGAGCGCTGTTCCTTTCAACTCCAACCTAACAGGAATGGCCTCCAACTGTAATAGCAATGGCCTCCAACCTACTAGCAATGGCCTCCGACCTACTAGCAATGGC